AGGTTTTTGTCCACTACTTTTATCAGCAGGTTTGAGAAATACATTAACAGAAGGATTCATTCATTCATTCATTCATTCATTCATTCATTCATTCATTCATTCATTTAAAATTTGAAGGCATGCATGCCTTCAAGTCAGTGTTGACTCCTGATGACTACTTGGAATAGTCCCTGCAGTTTTCTTGGCAAGATTTCAGAAATGGCTTGCCATTGTCTTCTTCCTACAGCTGAGAGAGAGAAAGAGTGACTGGCTGAAGGCTTCATGCCTAAGACAGGACTGGAACTCACAGTCTTCTTAGGTTCTAGCCTAGTGCCTTATCCACTACACAAAACTAGCTTTATTTTTATTTGCTAAATAATTTATATTAATCAAATAAATATGGGATATTTATATTTAATCAATATTCCATATTTATTTGCCAAATATAAATCAATTCACTTCTTCTCAAAATGTGTATGAGAAGTTTTCTCTTCTCAATAAGGTTACTAAGGCATGAGATTTATTGTTCTGAAACACATCTTAAATAAGATGGTGGGTTTTAAGAGAGATCATATTTTCCTTTCTTTAATATTTGCATTAAAAACAGAAATTCAGCTGATGCAACTTTCCTCATTTCCATCAGGCACCCCTAATCAATAAAGACACAGTGCCCATCCAACAGAGACAGAAAAGAGGGCATGAGTTGTGTTTGGAAGGATGCCTAAGGAAGTCTAATGAAGATGTTTGTAAAGGTAAATATTCATTGCTTCAAAGAAATTTAGTCTATGATCCATATATTTCATTGCCTAGCAATATGCATCTCTTGTGGTCCTCTGGCTCATAGTGAATGAATATGTGTGCTTCATGTTATCTAGAACTTTCGCTGTTGAAGAATCCATTTGTGGTGGACTCCATCAGCTGACAGTATAATGAAGAACCAGACAATTGTGACAGAATTCATCCTTCTTGGATTCTCTGCAAATAAGAGACTGGAACCTCTATTCTTCTCTTCTGTTTGCATCACCTACACTGTTGCTTTGCTGGGCAATTTTGTCATTATTACTTTGGTATGGTGTGATCACAGCCTTCATAGTCCAATGTACATCTTTATTGCCAATTTATCTTTTTTAGAGACCCTTTACACCACCACAGTTATTCCCAAAATGTTAGACAACCTCATGAATCAAAGAAAATCCATTACCTCTCAAAATTGCATTCTGCAAGCTTACTTCTACTTCTCAGCAGGTTCCACAGAGTTCTTCCTTTTGGCTGTTATGTCATTTGACCGTTATATTGCCATTTGCAATCCACTGAGGTATACAGCTATCATGAACACACCATTTTGCATCAAACTCTTAGCTGCCTCTTGGATGTGGGGCTACTTTGTTGTGATCCCACCAGCCATCTTGGTAGGCCAGCTACCATTCTGTGGACCTAATGCTATCAACCATTTCTTTTGTGATGTTGATCCCCTACTCAGGTTGGCCTGCTCTGATACAAGAAATATTAAGATAATTAGTTTTGTCAGTTCAGCCTTGCTCCTTTTAGGGTCATTACTGGTAACAGGGATCTCCTACATTTTTATCATCGCAACAGTCATTCGAATCCCCTCAGCCAAAGGGCGCCAGAAAGCATTTTCAACGTGTGCTTCACATCTAATTGTGGTGACTCTCTTTTATGGAAGTTCGATTTTCATTTATGTTCAGCCACAAAAAAGCTACTCACTGGACCTTAACAAAGCGGCCAGCATTCTGAATACAGTGATAACCCCACTACTGAACCCATTCATTTATAGCCTGAGAAACAAGAAAGTTAAAGAAGCCTTGGCACATTTTATCAGGAAGAAAATATCTCCACTAATTCACCTCAAGTTCTAAAAAGGGAGGATGGGTCTTTGCACTGCATGTAATGACAGTGGAAAACAAATGAAAGCCATTCAGGGGGTGCACACAGTAGACTTGGTTCTGAAGATCACCTTCGATGACCTATTGCATGTAAGGTTGCAATTCTATAAAGTTTACGTAGAAGCAGACTCCATGTAATTCAAAAGTGCCTATTTTTCCATAATTCTTCACTGCCCCAGAGTACAGTTAACTTCCTATTTTTATCTCCAAGGATGGAGATCCTACAAGTTTGATGACTCTACATGAGAGTTCTGACATCAGGGATGCCCAGAGAAAGGGAAGGCAAGGAAAGGGTTGAAGCTCTGCTCAAATTTCCTGTCTCAGTTATGCCTTGAGTATGGAAAGAAATTAATATCATTCATGGAGTTGGTATAAAAAAATTCCTTTTTATATGATTGAAAAGTTATGTTTCATATAAAATTTTAGAGGCCATTCATATATATATATCACACACACACACACACACATATCCATAATACATACATACATATATTCTTATATCCAGGTGTCTTGCCAAAGGCAAGGGTTCTTTTTTTTGAAGATTCAGAAGCAATGAAAAACCACAAGTGAAGTGAAGAAGTTAAATGATCTTTATTTAGAAGCAGGCATACATTACCAACCAAGCAATTCATCTATCTGTTATCGGGAGCCCAAGGACAATAACGACGATACCCCAACATGGCCAATCATGCAGAACCACTCCAGACCAGGTCTGCATCGAAGCTCTCCAAATCAAAACTTTGAAGCTTTTTATTCTTTTTTTTTTTATATATATAATTTTTTTTTTATTTTTTACAACAAACACAAACAAACAATAACATAAAAAACATAAAAAACCATCTTCCATTTTAAACCGTGTGTCAGCCAGTTACCAATCAT